GCTTTGGGTAGTATGGATATTTTAACAATATTTATCCTTCCAACCCATGAACATGAAGTATATTTCCATTATTTAGTGTCCTCTTCAACTTCTTTCATCAGTTTTTTATAGTTTTTATTATAGAGATCATTCACTTATTTGTTTAATTAGCAGGTATTTAATTTTATTTCTGGCTATTGTAAATGGGATTACTTTTTAGTTTCTTTTTCAGATTGCCCACTGTTGGCATATAGAAATACTATTGATTTTTGTATGTTGATTTTAAATCCTACAACTTTGCCAGATCTATCAATTCCAATAGTTTTTTGGTGAAGTCTTTAGGTTCATCCAAATGTAAGATCATATCATTTGTAAACAAGGATAATTTGACTTCTTCCTTTCCAACTTGTATGCCCACCATTTCTTTCTCCTGTCTGATTGCTCTAGCTAGGATTCCAGCTGAATAACAGTGGTGAAAGTGGGCATCCTTGTCATGTTCCAGATCTTAGAGGAAAGGCTTTCAGTTTTCCTCCATTCAGTATGATACTAGCTGATGGTCGCTTGTATAAAGCTTTTATTATTTTGAGGTATGTTACTTCTATAACCAGTGTTTTTACGATTTTTATCATAAAGAAATGTTGAATTTTATCAAATGCTTCTCAGCATCAATTGAAATGATCATATGGCTTTTAATCCTTCCTTCTGTTGATATGATGTATCTCATTGATTGATTTGCATAGGTTGAACCATTCTTGCAGCCCTGGGATAAATCCCATTTGGTCATGATGAATGTTCTTTCTAGTGCATTGTTGAATTCTTTTTGCTAGTATTTTCAAGATGTTTGCATCAATATTTATCAGAGATACTGGCCTGTTGTTGTTGGTGGTGGTTTTTGTTTTGTTTTGGTGTATCTTGTAACAGGATAACATTGGCCTTATAGAATGAGTTTGAAAGTATTCTCCCTCCCTCTATTTTTTGGAATAGTTTGAGTAGAAATGATATTAGAAGGTATTAGTTCTTCTTTAAGTGTATGGAAAAATTCAGCAGTTAAGTCATTGGGTCTCAGGCTTTTCTTTACTGAGATACTTTTTATTACAATTTCAATCTTCTTACTTGCTATTAGTCTATTCAGGTTTGAGATTTCTTTCTGCTTCAATCTTAATAAGTTTTACATGTCTAGGAATTTGTCCATTTCTTCTAGATTTTCTAATTTGTTGGCATGTAGTTGCTCATAGTATCCTATAATGATTCTTTGAATTTCTGTGGTATCAGTTGTAATGTCTCCTTTTTCATTTATGATTTTATTTACTTGAGTCTTCTCTCTCTTTTTTCATAGTCTAGCTACTAGCCTGGGCAACAGAGCAAGACTTCATCTCTTCAAAGATACAAAAATTATCTGGGTATGGTGGCATGCATCTGTAGTCCCAGCTATGTTGGAGGCCAGATGGGAGGGTCACCTCACCTTGGGGAAGTCAAGGCTGCAGTGAGCCATGATCACGTCACTGCACCCCAGCCTCGCCAACAGAGTAAGACCATTTTTCAAAGAAAAAAATAGTTAACTTGGATCAAAGACCTAAATATAAGTGCCAAAACTACAAATCTCATAAAAGAAATGTATGCAAAACAATTATAATATAATATGATGTAATATAATATATGGCCACTTGTCTCATTTTGAGACAGTGTTTGCTCAATGTGAGCACCATGATCATAGCCTTGTGGGTTTAATTATAATGGCCATGAGAGAAGCTTGGCCAAAAGAAGGAGACTTCCTTGGACACAGTCCACCATGGCAGTATCTAGAAGAAGCACAGAGCCATCTAAGGGGGCTGGACATGTGCCAGACTACATATGCCCAACAATTTGAAGGACTAGATAAGGCTGTTTACTGCAGGCATGAAAGGTTATCACAAGAATGCTCCCAGGTTGGCATGACCTCATGCCCCTTTTAAACTCCCTTGGGAGACAAGATGTATATAATTTGAGAGAAGCCATAGCTGATCTCAGAGAGACAGAAAAGAAACAGATGAGGTCTTACAGATCACTAAAGAGGGAAAAACAAGAAACAAAGTCTGCTGGACCAAAATAGGGAGGTCAAAATGGCCCAGTTGGGATCACCAGGAAACAAATGTGGCATAATCCGACATCAGCTGAAGTAGACAGAAAATATAAATTGACAACCTAATGCAGTTTTAGCGACTCAGAAGAATGCCTGGAAAGAACTGGCTCCATTCCTATTGCCCTGCCAGAAGAGGGAAAAGGAGAACAGACCCCATGTAAAAGAACTCCAGTCTCTGTGTCCCAGGAATGAACTCCTCTCTGACCTACAGACTGGGGCAGGGGGCCAAGGTTGCCTTCATGTATCAGCAATATGGGGTGAACAGAGGCCCCACATGGAGCTTATAATCTGTGCAAGTCCCTGCCCCCACTACAAAGAAGACACAAGCAGAGAACCTTAGTTTTAGCAGACAGAGGTGCAGAATGCACCTTAATTCATGGGAACCCAGAGACATCCTGGTAAGTGGGCAGCTATGGATGGTTATTGCAGGGGAAAATAATCCTCCTTGGTATTGGATGGAGTCCCCCCTGCTTACTACACTGTCTTTATCTCATCTGTCTTAGAAAGCATCTTGGTTATGGACATCCTTTTGGGATGCACTTTAGAAACATCAGTGGTGAATTCTGCCTACCAGTTTGAACAGTAAAAGCTATTATAAGAGGAGAAGCAAATTGGCAACATGGTACCTCCCTCTGCCACAATGAATTATTCATGTGAAACAATATCATCTTCCTGTTGAGAGAGAAAAAATTACAGCCATACAGGAGCTGAAAAAAGTTGATAGGATCTGGCCAGCCCAGAGCCTGTTCAATGACCAGTAAGAAAACCAGATGACACCTGGTGTATGACAACAGACTACGGAGAATTAAATAAAATGGTTCCCAAGATACAGGCTGTTGTGCCTAATATAACTCAAGTGATAGAACAAATAATACAAGATATAGGCATTTATCATGCTGTGTTAGATTTGGCTAATACCTTCTTTAGCATCACTTTACACCCTGATTCACAGGCATAATATTGATATTATGCTAATTTCTGAAGACTTGCTATTGCTATAGTAACATCTCTATGCATTGTGCATCCTACTCCAATCCAGAGGATAGGCCATCAATTTGCAAAAGATACAAGGCCCAGAATCAGCTGTAAAGTTCTTAGAGGTTACTTGGTTGGGTAAGACATCCAGGTACACTCATGGATGTCTTATCTAAAACAGTTAAATAGCTGTAAATTTTTCTAGGTCTTCTGTGAAATTGGTGGGTTTTTATCCCACATTTATACTGACTAGCGAGGAAGGGATCTAGTTGGTGCTGGGATAAAGAACAAGAGGAAGCATTTGAGAAGAATAAAATACTAGTGGCTTAGACAAGCCTTAGGGTCCCTGCTTCCTGGAATACCAGTGTCTTTGGATGTGACCACTGGACCCTCTGACAAGTCCACCATAGAGAAGCAGTTCCTTTAGGATTTTAGTCACAATTATGGAAGGGTACTGAAACCTGCTATTTCCCAATTGAACAACAGGTCCTAGGGGTATAGAAGGTCTTGCCACAAGTTGAATCCATACCTGCTGCTTTCCTGGTACCAGGGAGAACAGGTCCTATCAAGGACTGGGTAGAAGGAGTGTTTGCCAGACCTGCATTAACTACTGCCCAAGTCTCCACTTTACAAAAGTGGCATGCATACATGCAACTACATAGTGCCCTCTCCATGCATTCCTTAGGAGATGAACTGCCTGCTATCTTAGGGCCAGTACATTGTGAGTCCAGTGCCATCCCTATTGTGGAGCCCCCACAGGAGATGCCTTCAATGGTACATTAAGGCATGGTCCCCTTTCCTGACAATTCTTGGTACTCAGATGGATTGAGCCCAGGTATCTCTGTGTATGGACAGTAGTAGCCGTACAACCACAGACAGATAGTATCTGGTTTGAGATGGGAATGCAACAGAGCAGTCAATGGGCAGAACTCCGAGCTGCATGGCTGCCTTGTACCTATGAGCCACCACCTATAGTTCTCTGTACAGACAGTCTGGCAGTACTTAAGAGTCTTACAATTTGGCTTGCCCAAAAGGCCTGAGATAATTGGTATATAATTTAAAAATCCTTATGGGGAGCTGGTGTGTGGAAAGACATTTGGAAAAGCCTACAGGAACCCACTATGGACCTAATTGCTTCAGCACACTGGTCAGATTTACTTCCCACCAACATGGAGGCAGATAACCTAGCAAAAATTAGTATACTGAGCTAGTTGATTAGGTACATACCATAGTGGGCATCTCAGTGCATGAGTGCACTGGCAAATAGCAAACAGATCAAGATTAGCTCTCTGCTATGCAGATTTAGTGGTGGGAGTAGCAAACGGCTTCATGTGTTTCCACCTGTACCTCTGCCACATCCCACATACACCTGGACATAGACTTGAGACAGCCGCCCCTGTGAGAGACTGGTAGGCTACATCAGACCCCTGCCAGTAATCTCGGGACAAACGTATGCACTAACGTGTATACACTGCCATGGGATTGTTGCAAGTCTTCTCTTATAAGAGCAAACAAAACAGCCGCCATCAGGGGCTCAGAGCAACTCAGTGTCATATATGGATACTCTCAACACATTGATAGCAACTGAGGCATGCATTTCACCAGACGTGGTGCTCAAGACTAGATGCATGAAAAGGACGCAGACTGTATATTTCACTTACTGTACACGCCCCCAAGCAACACAGTGATTGGAAGGAAAAAATGGTATTTTGAAGGCGCAGTTTTGAGCACTCTGAAAATCCAATATCTTGCATAGTTAGACAAAGGTTCTGCCTCAGGCCATCAGAAACCTTAATTTGGTTGAGACAAGTATGGTGCTGGCACCACATCAGTGACTCAGGACCACCACAGAGGAGGGTCCATTAACCATAGCAGTAAAGGAAGTCCAACCAGATGCATCTCTACTGGAGCAGATAAAAGGCCAATGGCAAAGGTTATTTAGGACTCCCAAGATCTTGAGCCAGGGGAGGGGATACTTGAATGAGAGTTGGACTAGCAACTTTCCCTATGTTGGACAGAGCATTTCTTCCCAGACTGCAAGGAATTCCCTTCCTACTAAAGTTGTCTCCATTGATCCTGTTGAAGTCTGGGCCAAAACACTCCACATAGCAATAAACACAGCCCCTTAAAGAAGCATCCTGGCTGCCATCTGACACAGTCCTTTGCTGCCGCTGTAACTTTACAGAAAATACCAGCACCTTCGCCCCTCTAGCAACATGTTTGGTATGCACTCCCCACCCATAATCCCATGTCCTATCCAACAGAGATGGAGCTACCACAGTCATTCTGTTTAATGGGAAAGAACTGCCCCACCAGGTACCTGCTAAACACTTTTAATTCCACCCGTAGTCTTCTGTTCTTATTGCTGTTCTGCTCTGCACCTCTTGGTTTGGTTCCTGAATAAACATGGCAAAAGGCATTTTTAATTCTGTGTCTTACACCTGGCATACATATCATTACTTGTTGGTTGTGTTATTGCTGTGCCCCTGCTTAACATGTAGAAAACAAATTGACAAAAGGTGTCACTCACACCATCAAAATGTCACCCACAGCCTCCCCCGAAGGCTCAGGGACCATGGGAGGAAATGTGAGTCCATGAGATTGTAAGAGCTGGATTAGAGGGAAGGGATGTGGAAAGAAAAGTGACTCCCTCTTGGATGCTAATTCTCCATGTTGACTTCTGATTAGCACCAGTCCCAGGAATGACTCACAATTCTTATTGTAAGAACATGTCAACCTTGATGTTATCACGCAAATTCTGGGCTATGACACATCAGCATTTTTGCCTGTTCTGGACAGTTGCCTTTGTCTTGCACAGAGCACGTATACTCTTTCCCTGTGGTATATCAGCCCTGGGTGTGGGGGTAACACGTGCAGAAACCTACTTATCTTGCTGCCATCCAAGACCGCGCTTCTGTCTGTAAGTTTCCCAATAAAACACCCTTTACTGACACACTAGATTTGTCTGTTTTGTTAGTTGGTTTACTGGCTCCTTTGGCATTTGGGGGACACTTTGCATATGTGGCCCTTTCATGGAAGAGGGTCTGTGTGGGGCTGGGAGCCCAAATAAGCACTTGTAGTCAGAGCCTAGAACATTCACTGAGGAGACAGAACAAGACCTGTTAGCAGAGACAGACCTGTTACCAGAGTGGATAGCTGGGCCAGCAGGTCTGGAGTGATGCTATGGAAGAGCAGGCCAGTGACAGCTGAAGAGCTTCAGAGACTCCCACTTCCAACAAGCTCGCTTCCTATAAGAGGGACTGCTGTCGTATCGTAGTACATGACTCTCTCTGACTGTCCTAGTAAATATTCAGCATTTGGGGGCATCCATGCTACTGGAACAGTAGCCAAGGGAAGAGTCCACTATGCCAGCTTAATTGAACCCAACTACACAATGAGAACGTGGGAATCAGTGTGTTCTGCTACTTCTCTGCTTAGCATTCCTGTATACCTGCTTTACATAAGCACCATGTGGCACTGTGGTGTGTGCCTGTGCGCCTTTGAATCACATTTGGGCATCTATTGAAAGGCTGCTTCGGGACTGTTGTGACTCCAACTGCACTATGGACTGATCCCTGTCGGAAGGTAACAAAGGGACAAGGGACAGCATTTACAGCCTAAGTCCTGGAATGTGTGTGGCATCAAACCGTTTTGCATTTGTGAGCAGGAACACAACTGTACGGCAACAGATAGTCCAACAGCCAACAGAAATTGTGATTGACTTATAAGAAAATGGGCTTCCTTTGGTCTTAGGAACATAAGACTCAGCAGTATAGAAACAGAGAAATGGTTGCAGGTGGAGAACACTTTTACTGGAGTCAGGAAGGCCACAATAACCCAAAATCTCCAGCTTTTCCTCCCTTCTCTCTCTCGAGCTCTCTGCGCCTCTGCTCCAGCAGTGATGGCAGCAGTGTGGAGATCACAGCCTCAGGGAACAACCAAGGCCCAGTTATGAGAAACTATGACTTCCTTTTTAAAAAAACGCGGTGGGGGAGGACGGGAGTGTGGGGAATGAGAATGTATAAGGTCTTAGGAGAGGGCTGCTGCAGGCCTGGGGTGTAGCAAATTCTGTAGCTTGTCTAGAGTCACCATGCCAAGTGGGGAGGTTGCCTGAGTGAGAATATATTAAGGGTAGCATCTGCACCCTCCTCTAGAGGTCTCAGAATGCCCATGACTGTGGCTTTAGTGGTCCTTGAACAGAAATTTGGTAACATGACAAGTAGCAGGTGCTGGCACGGTAAGGTTACAAATGTGTAACAGAATTATTTTATAGGTAACAGAAAATACAATATATAAAGAAACAAGTTAACACTGTGAGAAAGCCATTAGCCAAATTCAGAATGTGGATGATTCTACAGGACACGTAATCTGGCTTTGCTGCGGAAACAGAAGGAGAGCGCGGGTGACACCATTTTAAAATCAACTCTGTCTTTCAACTAGCAAGATGTATTCCTTGCCAATCACAGCCCATGGTCATAAGTTTACCGCTGAACAAACAACTTAATAATGCCTGTAAGAACAAATGCCAATGACAACAGAAGGTCCACATGTCCTGACATCACATAATAATAAATGCTTTTAAGATTATTATAGTCATGCTTTGATGTACTTACTAACTAAAATGCCAAGGATAACTTTCTTTAAATCAACAAAGTACTAAATTTTGTCATGCTGTCAGAGCACCCATGCGTAGACATAACTTAGCTTTTAGAAGAGTTTACAGCAAAGATGGTGCATTCCTCCTTTTGCTTTCTGAGGACACCTACTCCATATCTGAGTAACTTTCAATAAACCATCTCCTTCTCACTTCACTCTGGGACTCACCTTTAATTCCTTCCTGTTCAAGATTCAAGAATCCTCTTTTGGGGTCGGAATCAGAACCCATTTTTCTGGTAACGGTTTCTCCAACAAATCAAAGCTTCAGAAAAAAAAATAGGTGAGACAGGTGGTATATTTAGAAGAACAGAAAATAAAGAGACATAAGAAGCAACTGCAATGCGTGGACCTTCTCTAGATTCTGTTTCAGACAGACCAATTGAAAAAGACGAGAGATTTGAATATGCATTGAGTACTTAGTAAAATAAGAGAACTGTTGTTAATTTTGTTGGTGTGAGAATAGCATGGTTTTATGTTTTCTAAAATCCCTATTCTGTGAAAGGTGCATGCTGAACTATTTAACTGTGAAATTGTAGGTAAAAGATTTGCTTTTACAATCCTCCAGAGATGAGTTTATAATCAAATCAATGATGTGAAAAGTAAATCAATGGAGGAGAGGAGGCAAAATCTCCCCTGAAGAAGAGCTCCAAATAAGGTAGGTAGATAGTCTGTCCTTAAAGGGAAAGCATTAACTTCTTCTTCTGGAAGTGTGAATCCTTGACATGATGTAATGAAAATGGTACTTCACTTGTAGTTTTCCTCCCCCATATCCATAACCCCTATCTCATTATGAAAAAAAAAAAAAAACTGCCAAATCCCAATAGAGGAACATTCTGCAAAATACCTAACTAGTATTCCTCAATAATGTCTAGGTTATCAGAAACAAGGAAAATCTGAGGAATTGTCACAGCCAAGAGGAGCCTAAGGAGACATGACAACTCCATGTAATAGGGTATCTTGAATGGGACCTCGGAGTAGAAAAATAATATTAGGTAAAGCCCAAAGATACCTGAGTAATGTATGGCTTTTGGTTAAAGATAATGAATCAAGATTCATTCACTAATTGTAAGAAATGAACCATACAAATGTTAGATGTTAATAACAGGACTGAGTTTGAGACAGATGAACACTAACAACTTCTCAATTTTCCTGTAGTTAAAACTATTCTAGAACTAAAGTCTATTTTTTTAATTCTCCTGGAAAAAAAGTGGAAATATATAAACATGATAGAAAAATCTTAATAATTATTGAATGTGATGATGGATAATGAGAATTAATTATATAATTCTGTTTTTGTGTATTTGAAGTTTTCTGTGATGGAAAGTTTGAGGCTGGGCACAGTGGCTCACACTTATAATCCTAGCACTTCAAGAACCCAAGAGTTCAGGGCCAGCCTGGGCAACATAGTGAGACCCCATCTCTACCAAAAAAAGCAGAAAAGTTAGCCAGGTATGGTGGGCTTGCACCTGTAGTCCTAGCTACTTGGGAGGCTGAGGTGAGAGGACCACTTGAGCCCAGGAGGCCAAGGCTGCAGTGAGCCAAGATCATGTCAACGCACTCCAGTCTAGATGACAGTGAAACCTTGTCTCCAAAAAGGAAAAAGTTTGAACTAGAAATATAGAGATAAGGATAAGAAGAAGCTATTTAAAGCATTTAGAGTAGCTGCTTCCTTTTAAAATTGTGGTTTAAAAATATATAACAAAATTGACCATTTTATCATTTTTCTGTGTACAGTTCTATGATATTGTGTATGCATGCTGTGTAACCGTCACCATCCTCCACCTCCAGAACTTTTTCATCTTCCCAAACTGAAATGCTATGTCTGTTAAACAACATCTCCTCATTCTCTCCTCCTTCCAGCCCCTGGTAACCTCCATTCTACATTCTGTCTATGAATCTGACTAGTCCAGGTGAATCATGTAAGTGGATTCATACAATATTTTTCCTTTTCAGTCTGATTTATTTAATCTAGCTTCATGTCTTCAAGGTTCATACATATTATAGGAAAATAATTTCCCTCCTTCTTCTGAAAAATATCCCATTGTATGTACCTACCACATTTTGTTCATCAATCCATCCATGGATGTATACTCTGTTGCTTTTCTACCTTTTGGCAGTTATGAATAATGTTGTTACAAACATGATGTACAAATATCTGCTTGGTCTCTGCTTTAACTTCTTTTGGGTCCATACCCAGGAGAGGAGTTGCTGGATCATATGTTAATGCTATGTTAAATTTTTTGAAGAAGAAAAAGTGAATGCTTCTACAAAACAGAAATTTTCAGATTAGAAGACGTTGGACAGGGAAAAATTCCTGTCTCTGAAAACTTAAGAGTTTTCACTATAAGCTTTGTAGAACCATTTGTAAATGATATATGATAAAAATGAAGTAAAGTATGCAATAAAACTCATTTTGTGCTAGGTACTGAACATACATGGAGGGAGCCCTCAGTCCTTTGGGGAAGAAGCTGGTTATAGAACGGTGTGATCACAGGCACAACACAGAGAAGACTC